TCACTTAAAATTTCTCAGGCCAGGGTCTGATTTCTGTATTTTTGAGACAACAGCTATCAGTCTGTTGAGGATGAAAGCAATCATATATGTAAATCAGTTGGCACAGTGACTGGTGAATAGTGACTGCTCATTAGATCTCAAGGGGATTCTAGGCCAGGCTGGGACAAAAGTGGGTCACAGTGTATGGGACGGAAGCTCCTAGGCCACTAGAGTTAGACCCAGAAAAGATGAGAAAGGGAAGAGATCATAAGCTACCAGACAATGGGGAAGCTGCAAGATAGGTGAAGAGCTGTGCTCTAGAGCATAGTCCTTACATTTTTCTGTAAAAGACTAGATAATAACTATTTTATGTTCTCAAGTCCTTATGTTCTTTGTCACACTACTCATCCTGCTGAAGTAATAGGAAAGCAGACATAAACGGAACATAAGTGAATGGCTGGAGTTGTTTTACAACGAAAGCTTATTTACAAAAACAGACTCAGAGCCAGGACCATCGTTTTCCAACTGGTAGTCCAGTCCTGCTTGAGTCTGGTGGCACATGTGACAGAGAGGAATAAAGGCTGCAGTTGTCTCCTCTTTCTTGACATATCTGGAAAGACCTGAAAGATCTGCTCCCAAGGGAAGGCTATCAGGGAAAAAGCCTGCAGGTTTCTGTCCCTTTCAGCAGTGAGTGGAAGGAAGGTAACTGTAATGAAGGGTGAGAGCTATGTCCCTGATGTTCTGTCTCTGCTCAGTCAGACAGCAAACAGATGACTCATTCAGGAACATTGCAATATTGAGTGAGAGGCTCTGGATGACAGGCAGGTTTGCTGTAAGAAGTATGTGTTTCAGTCTCTTTTTTCTAAATTCCTTCTTGCTGTCTTCACAGTGCCCACTGAGGTCCATGCTCCTTTTTGCCTTAGTGGCAGTGGCCTAAACAGTGGATCCTAGCCATGGGGCAAATCATAACAAAACTCTTTTCCTGTTCTGCTACTGTACAAAAGTGAGCACCTCTTGTGAAGCAATATCCCACCTAAATTGGTTTCAACTCATTAAGAGCTGCAGTCCTTCCAAGTAAAAAACAACAGCAGCTCTCCAAGGTCAGCAAGACACCAAGCTCCTTGACTTCAGTAGCAATTAGACACTGGTCCACTGTTGCACACTCTCTGGAAATGAAGCTGGAGTCACTAAAAAGCAACTGGAAATTAGAAGTGTAATGGTCATTCCATGGCTAAAGAAGTTTCCAGGTTGGGGATATAGCTCAGTGGCATAAGTGCCTGCATAGCAAGTACAAGATTGCCAGTTCAATCCCCAGGACTGCAAAAGAAAAAGAAAGAAAAAAAAGAAGAAGTTTCCAGAAGTCCCTTGCGGGGTGGTTCTTCTCTTTTGCCAGGCTGCCTATACTGCAGAGAGGAGACTTTGTTTGGAATTTGGAGTGACTTCTCCTACCTGAACATTGGGCTCCAGTCTATATTTCCTATTCATGGGATATTTTTTCTTATTTTTTCTGGATTTAAGGCATGATTATAACTTTGGACATGGCCACTTCTAGCCTCGTCTTCTGCAGACCTAGGAGGGACCTTTGGTGGTGTAAGGAGAGACAGCTCCACAGCAACAGGGGAGAGGAAACATTTTGGTCCAATAACCACCCAAACAGAAACATAAAGGAGGATTTGAGAGTAGAGTGAGCTCTTTTTCCAATAAAAAGTGCAGCACACTTCATTTTCTGACAATACTATAAACTTGCTTTTATGATACGAGTTATAAAACTCTTAACATTTGTCTAGTGCTAGCAGTCTTTTTTTCTTGGAAATTCAAATGAGTGAGAGAGATTTGTGACCCCAAGCCCAGCTGAAAGTAACACATCCTATGTACTGAAAAAAGAATACAGCCTGTACCATGAAGCTGCAGGAATTGAAAAGTCACCCTTTACTACCTGTATCCTTACTTGCATTCTTTACCATCTATTTCTTTACATTTGTATTCATCATTAAGAAACTAAGTGAGTGTTAGGGCTTAGATCAAGAATGGCCCACAAGAGCTTCATGCACTCAAAGGCTGGGCTTTGGAAGGCGATTGAATTATGGGGTGCTATGGTTGACTTGCTGTTAGGGGATGGGAGCCTCATTAGAGGTGGGTCCCTGGGGGCATACCTGGAAGGATATGTTTCTCTCCTCTTCCTGAACACACCAGAGAAGGCAAAGAAGGAGGGGGATGGCACTGGTGGGAAGCTGAATTCTGCCTGACTTGGTCTCAATTTATTTATCTGAGATAGTAGGTAAGTGCACAGAATGGTATTCATTACAACTCTTGTCCATTTCTTCATGCATAGCCGTCTGCTAGACTCAAACCCTTTAATATATATTATAACAAGAAACAAAATAGGAAACTGCTAGCCTAAACCTGACACTGACTCTGACTTACATCCAGCAAGATGTTTCTCCCTTCCTGCTACTCTGTGCTTCCCGTTTACAGCAACTACTGCAGGGAGTCTTGTTTATCATCATTACTTTGGATGCATGTAGGAGAGTGTTTTATATCTTTTTAAAAGGGTGTGATGGTGTATGTTATTTTCTATTAGTTTACCCATATGAAATTGCCTATAACACATTTTTGCTCCATATTATTTTACTAAGGTCCATCCATCCTATTCAATGCAGCTGTAGTTCATGCATTTCTTGTGGATAATAATTTTTACTCTGCTAATAGTCATTGGGATGGTTTCCAAGGTTTGGGCTCCATAAGCAATGATACCATGGCCTTTTCTGTCTACAGAAGTGTATGTGGACATTTATTTTGGGTGGATACACTGTAGTGGAGCTGTTGGACCGTAGAGTATGTGATGTCCCATTTTACAAGAGAATGACAAACTCTCTTCCAAAGTGATTGTACTGAGTACACTCCCACCAGTAATTAAGCACCTGTACTCCTTCCTCTCTACCACCTCTCATTTGGTGCCAGTCGAATTGGTCTAAAATGATATATCTTTATGATCATGACTTGCATTTCTCAGATCACTAATGACTTGAGCATCTCTTCCTATGATTATTGGCCATACGTGTTGCCTCCTCTGTGAAAGGCCTATGCAAGGCTTTTGCCCATCTTTCTATTTAATTGTTTGAGCTTCTCATTGATTTATGAAAGTTCATGATATATCCTTGATATTAATGGGATATTGGTTATTCATGTTGTAAATATCCCCTCTTTAAAGTGCCTTGTGATAAAGTAGCTATCTTTGCTTCTCTAAGAAGTGCTTTTTGCAGCACTGTTGCAATGAATCTTCATAAGACCCTTCATGGATGGAGGATTGGCTCTGCCTCACAGACAAAGCCGGCTGGGAAAGGGAACTCAAAAGCCATTCAGCCCAGGGCTCACACTCTGGAAAGGCCTTAAATCAACTGTGTGTTCATTATCTCCAAATGAGGTCACCTGCAACCACAGAGATTCACTGTCAGGCATGAAAGGAGACCCTGCAGCTGGAGCTAGAGCACTTAGCAGTGGACCTGGAATAGAGGCCTAATAAATCTCATAAACCTCAGGACAGCACCATTACACTGCATTCTATTATTTTAGTTCAACATAAACATTCAAAGTCTATAATAATATGTATTTTTAGATATCTTAAGCCTCTAAGGAGAAGCTGCCTGGCCTCTCTCAGTTCCAAGAGGTTCCAGACTCGGAGAATGATCATCATGTTCCATTCACCCTGCTGGTGAGGTGTAGAAAAAGTATCTGTTCCCACATATGTCAGGCTCCAGAGCTGAGGCACATTCTGATGTTCAGCATGGCTAAATGACAAGGAATAGTGCCCCCCCCACCGGCCAAGGGCTGTGCAGAAGCACATTCCCAGTAGGTACTCACCCCACCTAGGACCATAGGACCAACTGAGGTCACACCCTACCCTGACAGCAAAGAGATTCCCAGGTAGATCTTAAGTATCTTGCTCTTTCCTGGGATTGGGGTTCTGGTGGGTTTCTGGGGACCACGCTCCTCATAAAGAGCAGGGCAGTGAGCACTGGTGGCCCCAAAAGTTTTTCCTATACCCCTGACCTGTGCAGGGAAGTCAGATGGTCACAGAATATCCAGAGAGTGGAGCACAATGTTGTTTGTGTGTAAGAGAGAGACAGAGAGAGAGAGAAACAGAGAGACAGACAGAGGAGAAACAGAGAGAGAGAGAGAGAGAGAGAGAGAGAGAGAGAGAGAGAGAGAGAGAGAGTCAGAGAAGGAGACCGAGACAGAAAAAGATCCACAGAGTGGGTGGGAAGGTGGAACAGGAGAAAGGTAAATGGTTTCACAGGCAGACAGTGGTGGTGCTGACCTTAGGGTGCACATCTGTCTCACACCTGAAGCAATGACATCAGAGACTGCAGTCACTGCATGTGGGGGTCCCTGGACAGAACTATGCCAACTCCAGCAGCACCCATGACACCTGTCTTCATCCCATTTCTCCTCACTGAAAGGCCACATAGCAGCATGTGGCAGATCGATGCCAAAGCTACAGCCTGGACCCCAGGCATCACAGAGTCAGAACGTAACCAGGAGTGTGACTGTCTCCGATCCTCATCTGTACATGTGACAGTGGTGGTCAGTGCAGGCCACTGTGGGAAATCACCTGAAACAGGGGCTGATGGACTCTCTGCCCTTCCTCCCTCCTGAAACTCCTCCCCTCACTCCATCCACCTTGTGCCTAGCACTGTGCCCCTGCTCTTACTGAGTGTCCTCAGGCTGGTGGGCAGGGCCCTCTGTGCAATCATCCCATGAGGATGGACAGCCAAGCCTCCAAGTGAACTGGCCCACTCTTGCCCAACCAGCATCCCTCAACTGCAGAAGGCAGCTAAGGAGCAGCCCTCTGCTTCTACAGCCAGGAATGGGCATCTGCTTGTAGAACATGATAGGGAGTCAGCCTGCAAGTGACAGGACCTCTCAAAGACAGATGCCTCTTGGGAAGGTGTCTCAGACCTCAAGGACAACATCTGCATGGCCCCACCCTGGCACATGTGCCAGGCATGACTCCCACCTACCTTCCGGATGCCTTCTGAAGGACTGGACACACAGTTGTCAGCACCCCCGTTCTTGCTGATAGTCCTCCAGAGCTCAGAAAATGTGCTGTCCTGTTCCAGGGGGTTGGTGCCCTTGGCACGGAAGTACTCATAGACAGCAGAATCCCGGACAGTACCATAAGACATCTCCACTTGTTTGGACAGGTCCTGGAATGTCCTGAAATACAGAGAAACATGAGTACATGCTGTGCTGTGTGCTGCAGAGATCTAAGAGGACCCCACACTTGCTCCCCAAAGATCATGCCTGCTAGGCCTACCATTCACCTTCACACCTAAAGTCCAACAGTCCCTCAAACCCACAGCAGGACTTGCCAGGCCTCAGAGTATCATAGGTATGTTTCAATAAGGCTACTGCACAGGTGGTAACAGGTTCTGTGCTGAGCTCCTAAGATACAAAGATGCATAACACATGATTCCTGCCCTCAGGGAGCTTAGGGTCAGCTGTGGACACCTAGAATGTGATCATGCTATGAAAGAGTAGGGAACACAAAACACTATTGCTGAAGGTCTCCAACTCAAAGCCCACAAAGGCTGAATAGGAAAGAACCATGTTGGCAAGATAGAGGATGCCGGTGATGAAGGCTGGCCCTCACACTCACTGCTGAATGTGGCAGATTCTAAGGGGCCATGTCAGTGAAGAGGCGCCCCCTCCAAAGCCTGAAGATGTGCTGGCATCCCCCTAGTTACTGACTTTGAGCACCTTGCCCCAGCCAACTTTTCTTTTTTTAAATAAAGAAAATCAGATTTTTATGGGAGATTTAATGATTTTCAGACATTGCAATTATTTACAAGATGCTAAATGTTAGACACTGCACTCCTGAGGCCTTGGGTTTGTTGTAGGTAGAGGATAGGCAGGTAGCTCAAGCTTGGTTCATGGTGCAGGGACAGAGTACATCAGAAAGGCTATCTATCCGTAGCCCAGGAAGAGATGTCCAAGCTGGCAACAGAGGACAAGATTTCCTTTCAGAAGGAGAAATTCAAATGTTCTTTAATGTATGAAGGGGTTGAAACTCAATAAACCCATTATAATTTGAAAATATATTTAATACTTTTAACCTATCACACATAAGAGCTCAGCCTAGCCCACCTTAAACATACTGAGAACATTTGCACTGGCCTGTAGTTGGGCAAAATGATGCAACACAAAACCTGTAAGAGAGTGTTGAATATCTCATGCAATTTACCAAATACGCATATCCAAAACTCTCTGGCCAGGGGCTTGTGATTTAAGCTCAGTGGCACAGCGCCTGCCTAGCAAGCACGAGGTTGTGAGTTCAATTCCCCATACCAGAAAAAAAAAAAACTCTCTGGCCACACAGCACACTGCAGAGTGACTGTTGTCTCCCTTGGTGATCCTAAGACTGACAGGGAGCTGTGGCTTGCTCCTGCTGTCCAGCACCATAAGAAAGGATAACGCTATATACCACTAACCTGGGAAGAGATCCAAATTCAAAGTACAGATGTACTAACTGCTTATTGCTCTGGTACCATCGTAAAGTCAAAAATTCCTAAGTTAAACCACCATTAACTGGAGCCATCTGTAGCCAGAGCAGGAAGAACTAACTAGTGCAAAGCTTTCACTTGCCCCTGGAAAACCGTTACCCAGCAGTGTGTGGACAGAATGTCAGAAGCCAGACAGATTTGCAAAACTCAAAAATCCCAGTGGACAGCCAGGCTCCAGGATGGTCACTCTTTCTTTCTCAACTGGAAACCTCAATCTGTCCTCTTTATTAATCCTCATCATTCTCTACCCGCATCCCTCTACTGAGTCACTGTGCCCTCATCATTCTCTACCCGCATCCCTCTACTGAGTCACTGTGCCCAAGGGAAGAGCCAATGTTCCCAACCAGATCTATGCAACCTTCTGTCTTCTGGTCCCATCCCTGCGGTTGTCCCAAACCCACACAGCATCATAGCCCATCTCAGAATGCGAAAGACCACCCACCCCCATCTATGGTGTCAGGCTCCATCATGCACCCCCACACTTCCACAAGCCTCTTGAAGATCCAGCTGCTTCCTCTCTCCAGGGGAAGCTACTCCAACCCTCACTTTGCTGTGGCATCTCTGCACCTTGCAGTCTTCAGGGGCAGCAAGCTCTCATTGGGACTTCAGAAGGCAGCAAAAAGGGGGAGGATACATTGCACTCCAGACGCCTGCTCCCCTCCTACAGTCATCAATATTATGGGCCCAGACAAGGGAATGAAGGCCCTGTGCCTGTTTCCAGATCTTTCCAAAGTGAGGGTGGAAATGAGGTCCACTATGAAATTACAATCACATCCCGGTACAGTGGGCACTCGGGCAGTGGAAGCAATGATTCAGAGCTGGGATTAGACATCTGTGTCCCCATTGGATTATAAGAATCAGGATGCTTGGCACTGAGGGAGCCCTGTCTTTGCATGCATGGTCCTGGACTTAGGATGACAGCAGCCTTCACAGCAGGCACACAGAAAGCCAGCGGTGAGCAGAGCTTCCTCTGCCTTTGGGGACACTCTCCATGGCATTCCTTCAGTCCAGCTACATGGCATAGCAACGGAGTTCAGTATTCGTCTCAAAAAATTGCAGATGAAAGGAAACATAAAATAACAAATTCGATGAAGAAATCTTTCTAATTATTGTTCATTATTTATATCTAATTGAAGCAAGATGTTCCTTTGCTTGAAGGACCCCAAGGGTTGTAACTCTGTCATCATCTGCCTGTAATGAAAGGAGGAGGAGTTCCCCCACCCATTTTTTTCTCATGGTAATACAAACAAACACAAGGCTTTGATGAATGGGAAACATTCAAGATGAATTACACAGCTGAGTCTAAATACTGAACTACTCTGAATTACTGTAGTTTCCACTAGCACGGGTTGAATGTGTAACAGCCAGGAGCTCTGCCCTCCATCCTCACATTTGAAATGGAGATTTCCCCTCTCCTGGATTTTATGCATGACAGTGACCACGGTTAGAAGCTCCGGGAGCCTCTCTGGGTGACAAAGAGGCAGCCGGAATGTTTACGGTTCCACATGCCTTTCTGTCCCAGTGTGGATCATGGTTCCAACCCCAAACTATCTTCCACGCTCCAGACTCACCACTGAAACCCCAAGGCCTGACCCATCAGCTTGCACAGCTGCAAATCTGCGTGGCAATCGCTCCGCTCACAGATGCACTGTCAACAGTAGCTTCCTGGCTCACTAGTGTGTCCTGCACACAGTAGGGACCAGTTTCGTATTTCAAGGTGAATAGAACTGAACCGGGCTATCTGTGTGGCTGGCAGGAGGGCTCAACTCATCGGACACCAAAGCTGTCCTCTCCCCTGCAGTTGTCCTGTTGTCCAAGCGTGCTTTGACAAGAAGAGCCAGGACAGCCAGCCACACAGATGTGGGAGCCAGGGCAGAGCCGGGAGCCAGGGCAGATGATTCGGGAGCCAGCGCAGATGATTCAGGAGCCAGCGCAGATGCTGAAGCCATCCAGGACACTCACCTGGGTGGAAAGTGAGCTTTGCTGGGAGGAGGCTGTCCGAGCAGCACGTTCAACACAGCACTACTCTGAAGCCATTCTCTTCAGCAGCAACTGCTAACAAGTGTCCAGGCACCCACAGCACAGAGACAAAGGACCAGCCTGCTGCATGCAGGAGGGGTTTCTGTCAACCTGGATTGCACCAAGCAACTCTAGTAAGTCATTCATCCTTGTATTTCCCCAACAAGTTCTGGAAATCTAGAGGGTGGCTCACAGTGGCACCTGGAGCATGGGATGAATGGTGAACACACTCTGGGGGTTGTGGTAGGGGAGTGGTCAGAGCAGAACTGCAACAGAGGCATGGGGGAATCCCAGAGCCACAGGGGAGCTGCTGATCTGTGGGCCAGGGCTTAGAAAAAAATCTTTAGCTGAGTCATGGAGGGCAGGCAGAGGCAGCCCCAAGGAGAACCCCAGGTGGGGTGTTCCAGGAGAAGAGTTACCCAGGAAGACCCTAGTGTGCGAAAGTATGGCTCAGTCAGGCATCAAGAGGTGACTCTTACCAGCTACAAAGACTCAGGGTTTAGAGTTTGACGGAGCTGGATTCATATCCTGCCCCTGGATACGTTAGCTTTTGGATATAATCTGGTACTTTTCAATGTGGTCCTCAGTCTCCCCTCTTGGTCCCCACCCCAGATGTAGCAAAAGAGACACTCTGGAGCTGGTATTCAGCAGTCTTGTGTTTTCTCATCTCTCTGGGTGACTGTTCTGGATGCAAGTCCCAGAAGCATTGACTGGGGCATCTAAAGTCTGAGGTCTTAGTTTTTGTAATTCATGCCCACCCCACAGAGGTGATGAACGTGAAGGATCACATACATACAATTATTGCTCTCAGCACAGAGACAGTGTGTGATAAATCTGGGTGTTCTGCTAGGGTACTAGTAAGAAACTCAAGTGGTTTAATCATTTTCCCAGGACAGGCGTTGTAGACACTGGCTGGGGTGGTCACACCTGCCACCAAGTGTGGGTGGCAGCATATTGCAGCTTCCAGACTCCTCTGATCAGAGCCTATCTCCCCACTGGCCAATCAGTCTACTCAGTAAGAAAACTGAGGCCCAGCCTGCTTCCATCTCACTGCCCAGATCAACGCAAATACTTCCTCTCAGCACCTAGTCTGTGGCCCCGTCAACAGCATGCACTTTAGAGAAGTCTAAACCAGTGATGAGCGAGGAGACACCTGACCCCACTGGCAGGCCACTTGCACTCTTGCTTTGTGGACATGATGGTAACAGCCTCAGAGAGACCTTGCCGGGGAAGCAGTGGGCGGCTGGGCAAGGAGAAGCTTGGGAAGAATGGTTTTAAAAACTCTCACTCCAGGGGCTGGGGATTTAGCTCAGCAGCACAGTGCCTGCCTGGCAAGTGCAAGGTTGTGAGCTCGATTCCTTGTACCGAAAAAAAAACAAACAAAAGAAACAAAACAAAAAAACTGTCACTCCAGGCTGGACCGGGATTGGCTGTTGAGTCTCACCCCAAGGCTTCCCCCAGTGCTGCCTGCTTGCCATCACCTTACTTCAACTTTGGATGATGTTTAGTATTGGGATTTTTCCCTGGCAAAGCTTACCCTCTCCTCCAACTCTACTGAAACTGGAATTGGGATTAATGGGAGTGACGACTTCTCTGTATCTCCATCCCTGGATTGCTGGTTTTTGGGTCTTCCCT